CTGGATCAATGCTATTTTAACAAATGAAATTATTTTAAGTTTATAGTATTATTTGTTTTTAGTAGTTATTTTAACCTTGTATTCGTTCAATTATATTAAAAAAATATAATATTAGTTTTAATAGTTATATGATTTCGTAAAATTTAATACAATAATAAATAATTCTTCAAGCCTTGTGTTCTCTAGAATTGGAGCTTCTAAGATATCATATAAAACATATCACATTGGACATCAATTCGATCCACCATTATCTTTGTCCGAAAGGGTTTAAATTTTAAACTCATGGGATAGTTCATCTATATCTAACTATTATTGTTATTCATCTTAATCCAATCAAATCCATAAACTTATTAGCTCAAACCTCCTTTTTTATATTTTAAACATATCTAGATCACATTTCATCCTCCGATCTCTAAATGTATATCATACAAAAATTTGAATCAGAAACCAAAAACTTAATATGTTGATTGTGGTGCTCTTCTTTTAATTCATCCTTTCATCTCACATACATAAATATTTTGAATGCAATGACATTATACATGATTCATTTTCACTTTCTACATGGCATAAAAGTTATAGATTTTGGATATTCATCACACCAATATTGCTCACAAAGTTTACAAATTATGGAGATAGTACCTTACGAAGGAAGAGGTTATTGCTCACAAAGTTTACAAATTATGGAGACAACACCGTACGAAGGAAGAGGTTGTTTCTGGTTGAAAATAGGCCAAGAATAGAGTAGTGAAATGGCAAACTAGTAATCATACATATCTTTCTCAACCGCAAGCATATATATAAATAGCAAGTAATCGTTAACTTAGTGGTCAAAAATTACTTAAAATATATTTACAAGTTGATTACACGAGAAGAAGCCTTTTGCATGCCCTCAATATAAATGATTACTTCATTCAGATTATTGATATGCACACAAAAGCGCTAACTTGGAGTATACATCGATCGCGGAGAAGACTTTTGATAATGAGTGTAGAATTAAGTATTATTGTGATTGGCTTGTTATCCCTCATCTTAAGTGGGGTGAGGGTAGACATGGCTATCGGTGTTTACAATGTGAAAGATTACGGAGCAACAGGAGATGGCCAAACTGATAACACAAAGGTAGCTCTTCATGTTTATTATAAGTTATTACTATAAACAATAGTTTTTGTCTTCTTTCTCATGAATTTAAACATCTTCATGAACTTAAATTATAGCAAAATTGAGTGGAATAGAGGACAAACATAAGAAACATTTTGTATTGGTTATCACGACAACTTCATACTCACTGTTGTAACAATTATGGACATGGTAGGCTTTTGAAGCAGCATGGAGTGCGGCATGCACGGTGGAAGGGAGAACAACGATAGTGATCCCAGAGGGTGCATACCTGCTTGGTCCAACAATCTTCAGAGGGCCTTGCAAAGGCATAATGGTGATGCAAGTGAAAGGGCAGCTACTAGCATCCACCCATCTCGAAGCTTACAAAGAAAATTGGCTCGATTTTCAGTACATTAATGGACTAGTTATCTCGGGAGGTGGAAAATTCGACGGACAAGGAGCTTCTGCATGGCCTTATAACCAATGCAAAAAGATACTCAATTGCAAACCCCTACCGAAGGTATGCTAGCCTTGTCTTCCTTGTTCTAACCATGCAGAAATTAACACTACTTCGTTCTCACTTTGAAATGCACTAACAATTGTTGCAACACTACTGTATAGACCTTGGTGTTTAATTTCGTCACGAACGCAACCATCAGCAGCATCAATTTTATCGACAGCAAGTTCTTCCACGTTCATGTCTTTAAATCAAGAAATATTACATTTGATTCCATTAGGATCAGTGCTCCTGGAGATAGCCCCAACACTGATGGCATCCACATCGCCGACTCGACCAATATCCAGGTTGCTAACTCGGTAATCGGCACTGGAGATGATTGCATCTCCATCGGCTCGGGCTGCACCAATTTGACCATCTTTAATGTGTTATGCGGTCCTGGCCATGGCATCAGCGTCGGTAGTCTCGGCAAAAATGCCGGTGAGAAAGATGTCATCGGGCTGAAAGTGATGCAATGCAATCTTACCGGTACAACAAATGGATTGAGGATCAAGACATGGCAATCTTCTCCATCTAGTTTGAAGGCCACTAA